CTCCCACTCAGTCCATGTTAAAATAAACATTTAGGTAAATTTGACAGTAACCTTTTTTTATTATAAAGTTGGTTTTGAATTTAATTTAAAGTGGCTTTAAAGGTGTCTTAAAAAGTCTTAAAAGTAACTTGCCTTAAGCTGTAGGAACCCTGTAATTCATCTGATATAAAGGCAGTGGTCCAGTTTCAAGAAGTGAATTAATACTTTTAGAAATAAAGTAATAAATGTTTATCACAATGAACAGAATGGCTGCGTCACAGCACATTGCATTCTGGGTAGGGTCAATATGAAACATCTTTTTGTGCAGTGGAGGGCCAAGTTGAATGGATGAATAAATGCAAAGGTATAGGACTGAGAATTTCAGAAGCTACACATGTATTTAACCTATATGTACAATGTACAGATGGATCAGTACAAGATTTAAATATTCAAGCTGGGTAACTGAGCCAACACAGTCACAAGCTGAAAAGTGCAGACAAACCTGCCTGGCCGTCTGTCTTGCACCTGTCTGCATGTGTGCGTCTATTTTCAAAGTGTAGCTCAGCTTGGCTACATAGTAACGTGGACATATGCTATTTATATAATTTAGATAGATAAACAGATGGTTGTTGATAGAGATTGATGCTGCTCTGAGATCAGTGTTTCTGTTCGGCTTGATGTTAGAAGGTCTTGAAAGCTGTGATTAATGACTGCGATTGTGTCTCGTTGAATAAATTAACAAAGAGCAGCGTGTTAACACTATGTTAACAAATTAAAGACAAATGCAATTGAACAAAATGTGCATCACTTTGTCTTCTTAGATTTTTAAATGAACAATTTATCATAGCAGCAACACATGACATGAAAACTGGGAAATGTTTTATTTCTCTGTGATTTGCTGTTCCCTGTTTCTTCATTAGAACTCTGCTGCCAGTCTGCAGCTTACTCAGACTTGCCATAAGACTTTTAGATTGTGTTTAGTGCTGCATTAAGCTCAGTCCAAATGCATTATTAACTCTGAAAGGAAAGGTGCAAACTGTACAGTGGGTAAAATAAGTATTGAACACATCACCATTTTTCTCAGTAAACATATTACTAGAGGTGCTAATGACATGAAATTTTCACCAGATGTCGGTAACAACCCAAGTGATCCATACATACAAAGAAATCAAACCATAAATGTCCAGAAATGAAGTTATTTGTAATAATGTGGAATGGCACAGGGAAAAAGTATTGAACACATGAAGAAAGGGAGGTGTAAAAAGGCATGGAAAGCCAAGACACCAGCTGAACTCTCTCAGTAATAAGAAAACAAGCCTGCCCCTTGTCAGTGCAAGTTATCAGCTGGTTCAGTCTCAAATGATGGCCAGGTATAACACAAGAAACATCTGATGATGGGTAAAAGTAAAGAGCTCTCTCAAGACCTTCACAACCTTATTGTTGCAAAGCATAATGATGGCATCGGTTACAGAAGAATGTCTAAACTTCTGAAGGTTCCAGTGAGCACTGTTGGGGCCATAATTCAGAAGTGGAAAGAACATTATTTCACCATAAACCGACCACGACCAGGTGCTCCTCGCAAGATTTCTGACAGAGGAGTGAAAAGAATTATCAGAAGAGTTGTTCAAGAGCCAAGGACCACTTGTGGAGAGCTTCAGACAGACCTGGAATTAGCAGGTACGATTGTTTCAAAGAAAACAATAAGTAATGCACTGAACCACCATGGCCTGTATGCACGCTCACCACYCAAGACTCCACTGCTGAAGAAACAGCATGTTGAAGCTCCTTTAAAGTTTGCTGCACAACATTTAGACAAGCCTGTGTAATACTGGGAGAATATAGTCTGGTCAGATGAGACCAACATTGATCTGTTTGGATGCCAGAATACACATCATGTTTGGAGGTCAAATGGCACTGCACATCAGCCCAAAAACACCATACGAACAGTGAAGTTTGGAGGTGGGAATATCATGGTGTGGGGCTGTTTTTCAGCATATGGTACTGGCAAACTTCAAACTGAAGGAAGGATGAATGGAAAAATGTACAGAGACATTKTTGATAAAAATCTGCTTCCATCTACCAGGATGATGAAGATGAAACGTGGCTGGACATTTCAGCAAGACAATGAGCCCAAACACAAAGCCAAGGAAACTCTCAGTTGGTTTCAGAGAAAGAAACTAAAGCTGCTGGAATGGCCCAGCCAATCACCTGACCTGAATCCAACAGAAAATCTATGGAAAGAACTAAAGATCAGAGTTCATAGAAGAGGTCCACAAAACCTTCAAGATTTGAAGACTGTTTGTGTGGAAGAATGGGCCAAAATCACACCTGAGCAATACATGCCACTACTTTCTCCATACAGGAGGCGTCTTGAAGCTGTCATTGACAACAAAGGCTTTTGTACAAAGTATTAGATAAATTTCAGTAAGRGTGTTCAATACTTTTTCCCTGTGCTATTCCACATTATTACAAACAACTTCATTTCTGGACGTTATGGTTTGATTTCTTTGTATGTATGGATCACTTGGGTTGTTACCGACATCTGGTGAAAATTTCATGGTATTAGCACCTCTAGTAATATATTTACTGAGAAAAATGGTGACGTGTTCAATACTTATTTTACCCGCTCTACATACACAAAGTGTGAATATTTGATCAGTGAAGTTTCTTTTTCTGTGGCTAACACATACACGCACACACTGATATATGCCGCTGCTGCCGTACACGATTAAAAACTAGGAAAGGGAAAATTATCTCTAATTAGAATTGTTTGTCGTAGCAACCTCTACTGTAGATCAGCTCTGTGGTTTGCACTTAAAAGATGTGGAGGAAGGAGGGAAAGGGGAATTGATTTGGCGACTGAGGGAAGAGAGGCGGATACCATCATGTTCAAACTTGTGTCACAGTCGCCACTCCTCCTCCCCTTCATCAGAGGAAAAGACAGAAAAATTAAAAAGGATAAATAAAAACGTCAGCTTCTACAAACTTATGTGGTTGATTATTAATCCTTGTGGTGAAAGTCTCTTTTGATACTGGTGTATGCTAGCTTTGCTTAAAGAAACTTCAGCATAAAGGATGTGGCTCTTTAGGACACAACTCCCTGCTGTTTACTGCTAATCACCATAGTTACACTGATAAATTTAAAGTAAACTACAACAAGCTCAAAGCATCTTATACAGATGCAATGCAGTCAATCTCTGCATATGGTTTAAATCTGCTCCAGCTGGCAGTCTACAGGATTTTCTGTCTGATAGTGGCAAAGCGCCAGAAAAGCCTTTAGCTCAACTGGCCAGCTTACAGCTCCCATTAAACCAAAGAACACAGTGGCAGAGAACAGATTAGTTCAAAGCTCATATTTTTTACCCACACACACACACACACCTTCCGCCTACCTGTCTATGACTTAAAGGTAATTAGGCGTCGTGCCAAATCCTGCAGACACAGACCTTACACGGCAACCGGAAAGCACTTTTGATCGACTTTTAAGGCATCAAAAGACGTTTGAAAGAGGGACACGAGGCGAGAAGCGTGGAACACACTCCTTCTCTTTCCTCTTCTTGAAGAGCAAGGTTAAAAGAGAGATGAAAGGGGAGAAGAGAGAGTATCTCCCTTCTGTTTCCTGGTGCTGCATCTCTTTTTGTTGTTC